CATATAATGTGCTGTTAGCTATTTTTAACCTAGAACAGAACAACTTTCCAGTTATTCCAAGGATATTTTTGAAATTAAGCAACGTGATTCCTGAAAACATACAGTAACATTTGACTTGAGGATTCCAAATACAATTGTGTTCTAGAAGGAACCCTTTCTGATGTGATGTTAAACTCCTATAGAAGAAATCTGACTCATGCTAGGTTTGCTCCCACTGACCCATCTTTCATTCCATCTCCAGATATGATTTAGCACAAAGAAGAGTATCTTAAGGGTGAGCCTTTGTTTTTTCCTCCCGTCTTACTTTCAGATATTGACATTGTGCTGCCTGCCTATCCAGGCACAGACCTTCCTTATCCCTCTTTGCCCATTTCCTTTCCCTCTAGAATTCTTTTTTGGTTAACTTAGCTTTAAATAGGATCCCTTGATGTACAGCCTTATTTGGCTACAGTAGATCCACAGGAAAACTCATAAATCCATTTTCATTATGCCCGAAGCACTAAGTGATTTAGAGAATCCTTTAATAGGCAGTAGCACAAGGGGGCCTAAGCTAACACTTATTTAGCCTGCAGTACACACACAAAATCCTCACAAACAGAAACTTCTAAGGAACAAAAATAGCAAGTAACAATAACAACAAATTCTTGATCTATTTCAGTCAGGCATTTTTACTTAATTTTTTAAAATCATGAAATCAAGGCTCAATGAAAATGTGATATTGAAAACATTATTCCCTTCATGTGCCAACATTAATATTTTCAGGAAGAGCTGTGGGCAGTGTATTTGTCATTTTGGATTTTTTTAATCTTGAAAACTCATTTTCACATCAGTCACTCCAGGGAGCATTGAAGTCATGTGTGGACAATCAGCAGGGCTGTTTGTACCACATCTGTGTGTGTAGAGACATGTGTAGCCAGTCTTCCTATGAGGTGGTGAAAGTCAAGTGACAGTTGTGTGCATGCGCCAATGATGGTGAGGGATCTGTGGGAAGTTCAGTATGAATGTGTGTTCTCAGGCTGCTGTCCAGGTTGTGTCTACTAACAAAATAACATACACTGGTGTGAAAGATTCATGGTAACATGGAGCCTAAAATAGTATTAGCTAGTTTCCAACTACTGTCCTAAGCACCAATTTAATTCTCACAACAGTATTATGATACAGAAATATTCTTATCCCCATTTCACAATAAGAAAACCAAGACATTGCAAAGTTGGACAATTTGTCCATGGTCATACAGCTAGCAAAAAGTGACTTTGTCTTAGGTGAGGAAGGTAATTTGCTTTTTGGTTCTATTTTGCTTTAAATCAGACAAATCTCTTCCAGTGGGATCTGGAGACAAAACTGTGTCTCGTCTGTGAGTGATTGTGTCTGGCTTCCACAGTGGTAGCAGTTAGTGTTCTAGGGTTGTTTTCTTCCTTACTGTGGATAATGAAAATCTCTGTAATCACAATTACTACTATACCGTGACACTGGGTAGTTGAGGGACTGGCACTGATAGTTATTGGACTCTCCCTTTTAAGTTGGAGCCCAAGCAGATGGAGATTGATGATGGATTTAATTATTTTGGTGCAAGATCTAAAAAGAAGGCCAGCGGCTTTCTGAGCCCACATTCAGTTTTATGTTTTGGAGTCATATTGTGTATAGGGTATGACACTGCAGGAATCAATTTCTCTTCTTTCTGCAAGAGCTGAGGCAGAGAAGTCACACAGTGCCAGGCACCCCCTTTGTGTGGTAGCCACCGTTTCACGACCTGACAACCACTATGACAGGACCCAGCAGGCCTCCGCTGGGAGTGATCTGGCATCTGTTACTCAATGTTCTTCATCATTTTCTTTACTATTTCAAGACATTAAAAAAAAAAAAAAAACTCTATGAAAGCTTTTAAAACTAAGAACAATACGAAACACTTTCTGCCCAAGAAGGCCTGACGTTGTTTTTCTGGTTGTCATTGAATTGACAACACGTTATGCACCGTGGCTCACTAAAATGGACCCCTTTGCTACAAGATGCAGTGTTTACTCTCCCACCCCCATCAGGGCTTTTGGCCAACTCAAATCTATTTTTAATAGATTACAAATATTTTAGTAATGAGATTTCCTGTGGAATGTGCTGCAGAGGGATGCAAGGGACAACCAAACAATTAGGCACTTCCTTTGCTTTCTGAATAGAACTTGAGTAGGAAAGAAAAATCACATTCCTTACATTGAAAGAGAAATGAAAGCAAATCTAAGACAGGCAAAGGAAGATTCGCTCTGCACATACATCACTGCTGAGTCAGACGGGCATGCTGAACAAATGCCCTTCAGCCTAAGGACATTTAGCATTTTGGGGCCTTGTACAAAACTATTTCCTATCCAGGGGAAGGCTAATGAGTGTTCAGGGAAGCAGTGGCAACCGGGGAGAGATAGTGCTTCTCAAAGGTAGTAATTTCACTTAAAGAGATGTTGCCATTTCTTCACAGGAGTTAAATTAAGAGCTATATTTATAGAATCTCCAAGGTATGGGGCTCCTGAAAAGAAAATGAACTTACTTTACTTCTGAACTGAATCAAAGGCATTAATCAGAAATGCATTAATGGCAAAATCCATTTTTAACTGCTTGTTACTCTAAATCCTCTTTGGCATCCAGCATGGCAAGTGGCCTGTAATATTCTGATTGCCTGCTGACTACTGATGAGTGCTAGTGGCTCTCTGCCCTTCAAGCCTCTCCACTCCTTTCTCCACATTTCCACAACCCCTGGGTAACTGTCCCCTCTTTCAGTAACCACAGCTCAAGGTCTGGCTAGAATTGTACCTGCCAGATGGTTGATAAAGCAATTTGATCTAAGTCCCATTAAGAAATTAGCACATTTAGTCTGTTGCACAGAAAGCAGACTTGGAGAGAAATTCAGAGAGGCCTGGCTGCGTAAGAACATCAGCTTCATCCCTTAATAAATCTTAACCTTGGTGCAGATGCTTATCTTTCCGAGCTTCCGTTTCCTCCTCTGTAAAGTGAGAGGCAGAGAGAGATGACTTAATTCCCCAAATGGCTGGAGCTGAGCCTATCCAAAACCAGTTGCCTGGAGCTTCTTCCAGGTCTTCCATGTGGGTGCAGAGGTTCAAGGACTCGGGGGCCATCTTCTACTGCTTTCCCGGGCATAGCAGAGAGCTGGATCAGAAGTGGAGCAGCTGGGACTTGAACTGGAATCCATATGGGATGCTGACATTTCAGGTGGAGCCTTTTCTGGCTATGCCACAGCATTGGCCGCCACTAGTAGAACTAATCTTTCTAAACTCCAGTTTTTCCAACTGTAAAATGGAAACAACAGTACCTACTTTTTTTTTTTAAAGATTAAGCCGTATCGGCCCTTTATGACTTCTTTAAAGCCATCTCTTATCACAGATGGGAAGCAAAGGTGGAGAGAGGCTAGCAGGCAGGGAAAAGCTCAGCCCTGATCCCAGGGCAGATCCACTACAGAGTCTCAGTGCTTCTCTACAAACATTTGGTGCAGGATCCTCCATCACGATGTTACATCCTTTCCATTCCTTAGACTCGACTCCTCCAGCACTGAGATACAGCTGACAAACACCTGTGTGCCCTAAGAGTCCCTGTCACTTTCCCCAAGCCCAAGCTGCCTCATGCGCCCACAGCACATGGGAAAGGGAAGAATAACCACTTGCAAGGATCCCTTCCATCCTAAACCCTGGGAAAGGATTCAGAAAGGGTTGAAACGGCCTTCGGGTCTTAAACCTAATGTAAAGTTGGCATACATTCCTCTCACGCTGGACATCTGAACGTTCTCCCATTGCATCCTCATAAATCCTGGGGAAATGTTGGAGGCTGAGGCGTTCAAGAGGGAAAGGTTTTTTTTTTCTTTCTTTTTTTTTAAACTGCTGTGCAACTCAGTGCTCATGCCACTGAACAGAGCTTATCTAGAGCTTATCTAAATCCTCACAGGGTCAGAAAACTCATCGTAAGGTCTGCTCTCCAGAGAGTCCAGTAATTGGTGCCTTTGACTAGATCTGAAACACGGCCAGAGAGGGCTCTGCTTCTAGGCAGTTGCCTGTCATTAAATACTGCATACTTTGGGTTCTGTCAGAATATTCTCTTCACGTGGAAGGAATTTGATACAGGAAAGTTGGAATTGGTTTCATGACATGGTTAGTGGACTTTGGCTTGGGGAAGGTTGTCTTAACTCTTGAGATGATAGTCAAAGATCTTCATAACCTGGGGCCAGCACTGTGGCATAGCAGGTATAAATCCTCCGCCTGCAGTGCCAGCATCCCATATGGATGCTGGTTCAAGTCCTGGCTGCTCCACTTCTGATCCAGCTCTGTGCTATGGCCTGGGAAAACAGTAGAAGATGGTCTAAGTCCTTGGATCCTGTGCCAATGTGGGAGACCAGGAAGAAGCTTCTGGCTCTTGACTTTGGATCAGCCCAGTACCGGTCATTGTGGTCATTTGGTGAGTGAACCAGTGGTTGGGAAGCCTCCCCCCACCTCTCTGCCTCTCCTTCTCTCTCTGTGTGACTCCAACTTTCAAATAAATAAATACATGTTTTTGTAAAAAAGATTTTCATAACTTATAACAGTAGCTATTTTATCCAGCACTCATAATAATATAGCAATAAGAATAACACAAGAATGTCTATTTGAAGAACAGTGTTTTTTTTTTTTTCAATGGAGGATTATTGATGATGTTTTATATGTATCTCAAATAGCCCTCTTATTAAACTTGGACATATTTGGGAAAAGACAACCTGTGAATATTAACCAGATAACAGTAACAGATAATGTGAATCATATAAGTACCTCTCTGAATTAAAGCCCTCACTGGAATGGATCAGAACATAATGGTGGACTAGAGACTCGATGCTCCAAGAGGGTGTAAGATTGTGCTGACATGAACATTTTATTTCATTCCTTGGTATATTTTTTTAGCAATTCCTTTTTCTTTTAGAGGAAAGGTAGAAAAGTCTTTCTCTGATGACAACTCATACTAATGTATTATTTTCTTCTTAGTGGTCGAAGTGCTGGTTTCTATTATAGACTTTACAAGTGGCTTACTCAGGTATTCCCAAAAGTCTGTTTCATCCTGCCATGAAGATTAATATTGTAAGAACTCAAAGCACTCTTCAAATATTAATTAACCAAGCCTGTATAGGTAAGGATTACTATATTCCAATTCTCTTGCAGAAAAAAGTAACTGTCCCCAGATTTTATCGGCATTTTTAAACTATACACATTGGTATTCATTTAAAATATACATATGTATGTAATTTCTTACTTTATTGGAATGTTATCTCTTTAACATAAAATTAAATTGTTCTTTTCTAGCAGTTTACTTTTAGGGTGGTGAATTAATTTCAAATTGCTTATACCTCAAGTAGATTTTTAGGTGTTACTTTTCTGCATAAATTTGTTTAGTTAGATCACATCTTACCCTTTTAGACACAGTTTATGTGTCATTTTAATTAGATTACTTTTAGATTACTTGAAGATAGCAACTTCTTGGCAATTTATCCAGCATCCTGGTAGAATATATAAGGGATTTTAGTATCGAAGGCTTTTCCTTTAGCCTGGCTTGATACTACTTTAGTAATTTTAGGCTGAGGGAAAGAAATTCAAAGCCAGCATTGTGATAAATCTCCAAATATGCATTATGATGTCAGGTGATTGAATATTTACCTTTAAAAACTATCATATCTTGAAACAATATAACCTGATGAAGGAGTGAGTTTAACTCACAGCTAAAATAAAGTATGCTGTACAAGATTCTAACACATTTGTGCTTAGTTATCTTCAAGAATGGAATAAAACCTCCAAGTTTGACTAAGGAAATGAAGTCCCTAATCTAATCTAAAGCAGGTAAAGCCATTTGAATAAAAATGCTGGAAAGTTAATTTTCTTCCTTGTATTACAGCAACTTCTCTGAGGCAGGATGATTTACTCAGCTTCCCGAATGAGACAATCAGAGCAAGTGATTCATTTGCGAGGGGCCAGGATGAGCTTGCATACAGTTTGGAAGAGAATATTGCATGTTTTTTTTTTTTTTAATGGTGTTTCTAAGATGTAATGCTGCTTCTCAGATGTGCTCTATTCAGATTTTGTTTAATGATGTCTCATGGCTCAAGATTATTGCTGGATGTGCTAATAAAAGTGTCAGATATTCAAATGTTTTTTTCCCCTTTTCCAAGATAAGGAATATGAAGATAGAATGTACTGGGTCTGTGAAGATTCAGTCAAATGATGATTTTCTGATGATCTTAGTACTATCTTGCAAATTATTTTATTGTTTACCTTTGAGCTCAATTGGGGTCAACGTTTTAATTCTTAGCATGCTCCCTAGGTGACAGACTGAGGAAGGTCTTGTATGAAAAGGAAAACAATGAGTAAAGGAAATTTTATGTCTAAGAAAAATTAAGAGATCACAGCAGGTATTAAAAAAAGGATAGCTTGTTCCACCTACAAGCGTGGGATCTGCAATCATTCCTATCATAATTTGGTGGTCCTAGGATGAAAATACTGCTCAGTAATTGCTGGATTGACCCCTCCTGTTCTTGCCCAGTGGCATTATCTAGCAGACAGTATTTATCAAAGGAGCTGCTGGAATTTCTCTGAAGTTCCCCCAAAGCAGCAGGAAGAACACAGTCTGTGAAGCAAAACCTGACTTCATGTTTTGATTGTACCATTTATTGGCTGAGTAACCTTGAAAATGACCTAATGTCTCATAGCCTTGGTTGCTATTTTGGTAAAATGGTATAGCTTATGATATTTGCTAGAGTAGATGCTGTTGGCATCATGCCTGGGTAGGTCTGCACTACCACCAGCTGCTGAAAAGACTGGGTGCTAAGGGTCCATGGCTGTGCTTCTGAAAATGCCCTTGCCAGGTGGGAGACAGCTCACCCAAAATGCTCAGAAGGTGGTATTTCCTGCTTCCAGCGACAGATCCAGAGGTAGTAACTGACTGGCCTCTTGTCTTAGTGAGGGACAGTTCTGTGATACTGATCCACTTCACTGCTCCCTGTGGGATTAAGCTGATTTAACTGAAACTACATCTTTGCTTGGCTTCTAGGATGTCTTGAATCCTTCATTTTCTGTATGTTTCTCCTCAGATCCCTACTTCTGCAAGTTATTTACTGTGCCCCACTTCTATGCAACCTGGCCTCAGATGCTTAGCCTTCTTCATAAGGTACTTGTGAGTGTCAAAGCAATGATATATATGAGATAACACTGAAGATTAGAAAGTCACATAGAAAGACACGTTATTGGAAGGCAGTGAATATTTTCTATTAGTTTCTGTGTTTCACGACTTAATTTCTCACATTTCTAGCATGAAAGCAATCAATGATTTTCTAATTTTCTATAAATATTTTCAATATTTGCAAGATAAATACTACTGCAAACTGAGAGATTATTCACAACTGTGTTAGCAGAGCATGTGGCTATGTCTAGAAACTATCATTAGCCCTTTTCTGTTGGCCAAGCAGTATTGAATTCACTACTACCATAAAAATAAGCATTGAAGTGTAGTGCAAGGAATATAGTGGACAACCATATTTGAAAAACTCTTTCTCTGTTATATTTCACCGAACCAGAGGGCATTCTGGTCAACAGCCCTTGACTAAAGACAGAAAGATCATATTTTACTAGTGAACACACCATATATTTATAAATGGGAAAAGTGCGTGTCAGAAATTTTCAATGGACATTTATTGGTTGTCTAAATTCTGGGCTAGAAATTGAGATGTCTCATTCTCTGCTTCAAGAGGTTAATGCATTGATGAGGAATGTTGGATTCTCAAATCATTAATTACAGTAAAATGTGAAAAGTTGAATTGTTAGAAGGTAGAGATTTTATTAGAGGGATGTAGCCATTGGTTGGTAGATATCTCACAGACATCTAGTAAATATTTGGGATAAATAATGTGCTCCAAAAGTTTTTGTCTACCTTGAACATCATTAATAAAAAAAGGCCTTTGCAGATAGAAATAGTTAAGCCAGAATAAGGTCATGCTGTATTGGGCACTGCCCTAAATGCATTGACTGGTGTCTTTAAAAGAAGAGAGGACACATAGAGACATAGATGGATGCACAGAAGACAGCAGAGATGTGTGGGATCTACCTTCAAGTAGGAGAATGCTAAGGAGTGCTAGTGATCACCAGGAGCTAGGAGAAAGGCACAGAACATATTTTCCTTAAAACCTTCAGAAGATACCAATTTAGCCAACCCCTTGATTTTAGATTTCTGGCCTCCCTAACTGTGAGAGGATGAACTCTTGTTTAATCAGTTTATGGTGACTAATGAAAGCCATAGGAAACTAACACAGTGATTCTGTGTTCTTCCTCCTAGAAGACTATTTTTTCTTTTCATTCTTCTTAATTCTGTTCAAACTATGGATCTTTCCTCAAGTGCACATCTTCCAGAAAATTCTTCTATGACTCTCCAAATACTTGGTTTATTGTCTGTCTTCTGGGTACTTGTAGAAACTAACTCTTCTACCATTTGTTTAAACTGAGTTTAATTCTCCAGTGACTTGTATTTCTTTCCTACGGGTGCCCGGCACATAGCAGATGTTCAGTAATTATTTGTGGGGAAAAAAAAAAAAAAGAATGGCAGAGTGAGATCTGGGCTACCAACTTGCTGATTCTCACAGCATTATTTCTAAATACTTTCTGTGTTTTTCTTTCTTTCTTTTGTTTGTTTTTGTTAAGAGGTTGTTGGTGGTACATATCAATTGCCTGGAGATTCATGATCAGAAATCCAGGAAAAATCAGGAGATTTTATACAAGCCACCTTTGACAGTACTTGACAGATACTTCCCTAAGAGATCAATATGAAGTAGCAGTTCTGACCCTTGTAGACACACTAGGTGCTATTGTTCCAAATTCTCCCAACTTTTCCAGTCACTACTGGGAAGAAAATGATTCAAGAGATAAAGGCATAGTCAAGAGTAATTGCATTGTTGGATTTATGGAGAATACAGTATTCCTAGTAAGTTGAAATTTTTCTCTCCCTTCTAAGAGGTAGAGTCTACTTCTGTCCAAAGTCAAATCATTCCTCCTTTTAAATTGAAGTGTGCTTCACACAAATGTTAAGTATACAATTCAATGTGCTTTTACCAATGTGTATCCCTGTGTAACCCAAACATCAATCAAGGTATAATACCTAGACACTTTTAAGCAGCAAAATTCCTGACTTGACCTGAGAATTTAATTGGCAGGAGATGGCTGAGAGGAGGTATGCACTAGATTATTAGATCTGCAAGGATCCTGATGCCAAGCAATGCCTAATAGCTAGACTGAAAGGTCTTCCCTGAGGACCTCCCTGGGGGTGCTGTCTCCTGGTCAGGTGAACCTCAGCAACAGGAGGCAGTGGGAAGAGAGATCAGCAATGGTGGACACTGAGAGGAGGAAAAGATGAGATCAGCCAGCAGTTGAGTGACCCAGGCAGAGACCTGTGCAACTAGAAGGTCCTACTGTGGCTCTTAGAGACTCACACACATACTCTTTGAATGAGACAGCATTTGAATGGCTGTGCCCAAGCTGTGTTGATGGCCAATTAAGTGCAGCCCAGACCTAGGGACAACTAGAAGGGAGAAGCCAGCTAAGAATTCAGCCATTTATCTTTCTTCCCCCTTCATGCTCCCCATCTCTAAGCATCTGAGGAACTAAACTTTGCAGAAGAGTGGGAGTGACTTCTCTGTGCTAAACTTTATCAACTTTGTGGGGGGAAGGTGAAAATATGAAGTGAACATTAATTTGTGATTGAAGTTAGAAATTAAACTGAACCTCATATATACAGAAAGAGACTATGAAATTACAGAATGATGGAAAAGAATGGTTCAATAAAACATGGTTGAAAGGAACGGGAAAAAAAATTCATGTTTATACTCTCACAAAACTGAGCCTTTCCAATAAATCAGTTACATGAGAAAACAACAGTTCTGAGGATGTGGCTTATAGACCCCTGGGGATAAGCAAGGAAGACTCCAGGTTACTGCAAATTATTGCAAGAGGTCTACCAAGCAATACATCAAATAAATACAGTCTCTTAAAGCAATAAACAGTATCTCCTGCACAGATAAATTGCCCTTTCAAAGTGCATTTATTCAGTTTTGATTAATACAAATTTATTTTAAAAAATGTTATTAACTTCTCATTGCGTTTTTCACATATAGAGTCATGTGGGACTGAAATAATGATATTTCAGTCAGTGATGGACCACATGTACTGCTGTGGGGCTGAAAAATTCCTATAACCTAGTGACATTATAGCATGACAGCCTTCATACCGGGAGCAAAATGTTACTCATGTGTTTATGGTAATGTAATGTAAACAAACCTACTTGGAGTGACTCCTATTTATGTATTAAAAAGTTTACTGGAAAACAATCAGTGTTGCTAATGCAACAGCAGCCTCATACATCTCGTGTGAACTGCATCTCTTGATTGCCCTGTGAGGACACATCAAGTGACTGAACTATAGCATCTAGGTTTGAGTAAGTATACTCTGAGGCTCACACTATGACAGCATCATCTAAAGATGTATCGCTTATAACATAGCCTAGTCATTAAGTGACACATGACTTTAAGGCACAGGCTACTCATGGACAGGAGCTATTAAAATTGAGTATAAAAAAAGAAATAATTGTCAGGAAAAGATTTTCCAAAACATCCAAGCTTTCAAATAGCTTCTGATGTCTCAGCCGACTTGGAGATTCTGTGATACTAGCCCTGTGGAGCAGCCCTTAGTTACTTTTAGGTAACATTGTGGTACTTTCTGTTTGTACATTCTTGTACTTTCCTATTTGTAGAATTCCCAGAATTCTGTCCTGCAAGGACATAGGGCATTGCTCCCATTTCTAGGAGCTGAAAGGGGTCAGATCATCCTCCAGTTCTCTGAAAGCAGAGCTTTCTCACATACCTTAGGTTGTTTATTTGGAAGCTTTTTTTTGGGACTTCAAATCTGGGACATGAGCAAGCATACTGGGACTGTTACAGAATGATTGTAGAAGTGTGGGACTACCATAACAAAATATCATTATCTGGGTAGCTTGAGAAACAGAAATTCATTATCGCCTGGTCTTGGAGGTTCGAAGAACAAGGTCAAGGTGCCAGCAGAATTGGTTCCTTCTGAGGGGAGTATGCTTTTTGAGGTTGCTGGCAATCTTTGGGAATCTATGGCTTGTAGAAGAATCACCCTGTCTCTGCTTTCATCTTCACAGAACGTTCTCCTGGTGTGCAGCTCTCTGTGTCCTAATTTCCGTTTTATAAGGACCAAGTCATATTGACTGAGGGCCTAGTCTACTCCATCATGACCTCATCTTGACTTAAATATCTGCAATACCTCTAGTTCCAAATAAGGCCAAATGTTGAAGTAATAGGGGTTAGGATTTCAGGATATGAGTTCTGAATGGGCACCATTCAATCCATATTTTGAGAAGACTGCATAGCAATTGTGTCCTTGGCATACTGTTCTGATGGTGTGATCATGGCTGCCCCCATGCTGCCCAACCTCCTCTGTTTTTTGCCTATTTCTGTGCCTGGTTCTTTAGTGTTTCCATTGATCTCCACTTTAATTAATTGATTAATTATTTTGAAAAGGCAGTGGGTGCTGTGTGTGTGTGGGGGGAGATAGAATCAATCACATCAGCTGGTTGATTGCAGTTGCCCAAATGACCAGGCTGGGCTGATTGAGGAAGACAGAGACTTAATCAGGATTTCCTATGTGGATGACAGTGATCCAACTCCCTGTGCCATCTTTGAAGCACCCCCCCCCTCGCCAGGGTTTGCAATAGCAGGAGACTAGAGCCAGCGGAAGAGCTCAGCAGCTGAACCCAGGCACTCCAGTATCTGATTGAGATATCTTAACTCATGCTTTAGCCACAAGGTCAAATGCCTGCTTCTGGTTAATTTAGACAGAAGTGTTTCTCCTGCTTGCTGTTAAGAGTCTTGATTAGGATCCTGTACTCATCCAAAAATTTTATTTATGCAAAGCATATTTCTAAGTTTCCAAAAATATTGCTTTATTAGTTAATGCTATTTTTGTTATAAAAGAGTAGGAGGGGGAAATTTTATAATTTCCTTGTCTAAGGACTAAAAAAAGCATGCAATATAATGTGGGCCAGTATGATTGATTAAATGAACCTAATAAAACTACTTAGTTTCAAAAATAAGAACTTTATTTTCA